TATCATCAACGTAATAACACAACACAGTTCACCAATATCCTCTTCAGATATCAAACGCTCTTATCGAGATAATATTTCGTCGTGTGCTGCGAGTTAAATTTACTCCTCGTCTTCGGATTCGCTCTCGACGGTGGGCTGATATGCAGCAGTGAGCTCCTTGTAGAAAGTCTTACCGACATTAGCGCTCTTCTTAGCCTGCTCAGCACGGGCACGGATAGCAGCAACCTTCTGAACATGAGCCTGAGTACCCTCCTGCTGGGCCTGAGCACGCAGCTTAGCACGATGAAGAGCACCAGGGTTAAGCTTGGCCATCATCTGGCGGTTCTTCAGGGCATTCTTCTTCTGGCCAACACGGCGAGCAGGAGCAAGAGCAGGACGGCAGACAGCCTGAACCTCCTCAGAGTTGATGATCTTAGCCACATCAGCATTGGTCATCAAAGGCCTAGGAAGCCTGTAACCAGACTTCAAGGCAGCACCGGACCTGTAGGAACCGAAGAGCTGCTGGAGACGGTCGAAGGCGGGCTGAGTCCAGATAATGAATCTGCCGAAAGTGCCACCAGGAGCAACCTGCAAGAGGTTGAGACGATCAACCTGGCAGAGCTCGATACCGGGGATGTTACGGAAGGCCTTGGTAAGACCATCACCCTCGGCATAGACGACAAGAGGACCACGACGCATGACATAACGACGGTTACGCATCTTACCGGCGCCAGCACGGATCTTCTTAGAATCCTTAACCCTCTGGACGTCGGCACCAGCACCAAGGGCCTCAAGGACGGCAACGGCATCCTTAGTCTTCTGAACAGACTCAACACCCTCAGAGAGGACGAGAGGAAGCTCAGGTACCTCACCAATGCGATGACCACGGGCCATGACAAGAGGAGGCAAGGCAGACGCGGCAATGGCAGAGGCCATGGCATGACGCTTCTCAGTCAGATTAGACTTGCGATGCCAGCGTCTCCAGGTCTTAAGAGGAGCGAACATTCCACCACCACGGCACATGTTACCGAAGGCACCCTGACCCGAACGGTGAGTACCACCACCAGGGACACGAGGGATACGAGATACGGCACGACCGGTACCCCAAGAAGCGGCAGCGGTCTCATAACCAGCCTCGAACTTAACACCACGAGCCTGACGCTTGTTCTTGGCCATAGCGGAGTGGACAGACCTCACTAGGTCGGGCCTAAGAGGAGCCTGAAAGACGGTAGGAGCACATGTAGTGCTGGATGACGATCCAGAGAGATCGTATACTGATACGACGGGCCGAGCGGTAGACATCGTGAAGAGGTCAAATTACCTTACAGTTCATGTCATGTTACAGCCAAGAGTCGATTAGCTATGGGCGAGCGCTTTCATCATCACGCATGATTTTCGGTGAGGGAGTGGGGCAGTACACTATCTTAAGTGAGCTCAAACGTCAAGCCTCCATGCCGTACCTTGCACATGCTTTGTCTCGTACTAGGACCAGAGTGTACGATCCCCACCCAGGGAGATCTAGATCGAGGGCTAGCATCTACACGATGATGTTACTACACAATGTGTAGGTATAACAGCGATGGATAATACCGTATAAGCAGGATAGTATGGAGGGGACTAGATCCGTTAATGTGAGGAAGGCAGTTCGGAAGAAGATATATAGAGAAGGTGATTATGAGGATGATGGATGACGCATCAATTGACAAATACTCATATCACACTAATATCATATGATTAGGAGGATAGATGATGCAGACCGGACTTGTGAACGGTCCTAGTCTAGTGTGGAAACTGAACGTCATTATAGACACATTATCTCAAAGGTAATGATTGTAGTTGCTCACTTGGATTTCACACCATCGCTCTACCAGATGTACAAGCCCTCAGTCAAATCTTGAATGCATAGGGCCCTATCTCGAGTATCACAGTAGGCGCTGTGTGTGGGATGAATAGGTGGAATTAGAGTAGGATTGATATGGGGCAGATCTACTCGGCTACGAGTACCACCTTGATCACCCTATTGCGGCGGATAAGGTCCAAGGTTTTGTTCTCCTACCATGCGGTAGATAGCCTCCCCTGGCCACTCAGCATATATCGAGGATGAATGCACGAATGGGGATAGTATTGATGTCCCCTTCCTTTGAGGATTATGATGATCTTCACCTATAAATAGACTCTACTATACTCCCATCCTATTTACATCGATCAATGGGGCGTAGTAGCAGTACAGGTCAGGTTCGACATCATATGATGTTTGATGAGTGGGTCTCCAGAATGTACCTGCACTTCAGGCTACTTTTTAGGCTTATCCGGGCCTATGCACCTGTCATGCTTGCTGTAGAGGCGTCTTATGCAGATCACGGGGGGAAAGTGTAATAGGGAAGGCAGTGCACAATATAACTGTAGGGTATCATAATCAAGGTTTGGTATCGGCATCACATTCGGTCTTGGATTACCATGTCAACCACTGCTGTAGTTGAGGTTGTATCGACAGTTGTTATCCATCACTGCCTACTTGCCATGTCTCAGGAACTCTAGCTCCGATTCATGAATCATTTCTCGACATTGTTACCATCATTTATGCTATGTTGAGTTAACAAGTCATAATGGATTGTTATCATCTTATCAGACTCTTAATGTCTTCGTCATCCTCTTCGAGTAGTACTGCACATCCTGTTGTGAGAGGTGGAGTGACTGGAGGACAAGGGAGCTCTGAGTCTATTCCTGTGGCCGTCTTGGCTGCAGCACAAGCCATGACCCCACCCGAGGGTATGGACTTGGATACTCTCTATCATGGCAACCCTGAACTTAACCTACAAGATTTCATACCATTAGCAGAGAAAGCTGAGGAAGCTGAGGAGAGGATAATGAGCGGTATGAGAAAGCAAAAGCGTGGAGGGCGAAAGGTAGTGCCGTATCGATAGCAGTCGTATTGTGATGAGTCTTGGATATGGGTTTACTATTCATAGAGTCTTTCTAGCCAATGCTCTTTGTCATTGATGCTCTCTTTGTCATTGTTGCATGTAATACGATCATCCTGTTCAGGCTGCAGCTCATGCGGGATCGGATGTGGAGATGGGAGGTAATGGGAAGATACTTGTCATATATAAGTGGGCAGTAACATTGAATGGTAGGTGATGGTATACCAGGGATAGGGGGGAGTGATGGTGATATGTCTTCTTGGATGACGGATGGTGATGATGAAGATGAAGAGGAAGAGGGCGGCGATGCTGATTCAAGTGGTCTATCATCATATGACTCATCTGACCTCGATGACCTACTCATGAGCAATAATGCAAGCCAATTCCTCAAGAGTAAGGCTAGGCATAGAAGGAGACGACGGAAGAAGTTGAGGGAGAGGAGAGCTAAAGGGTAATATCGTATGGGAAACCTTCAACATGGACGCTGTGTTCCTCAGTCTCAAGCCTAAGAAACACAAGCGCCCAACAGTTGCTTCCGGTCCATCGAAGAAGGTGAGTCCAGAGGTGAGGGAGATGCTTGGTAAGGCTAACAATGCCTTCCTTAAGCGGGATTATGATGCTGCTATTGATGATCTTAAGGTAGAATTCTGACCGCATGCATCACGTCTGCCCCCTATTCTTACTATAGGAAGCAATCCGCCTAGGGCCCGGAGTTCCTGATCCATTCCTAACACTAGGTCTAATATACGAGGAGATGGGGGATGCTAAGAAGGCTCTAGAGGTGGGGTACAGAAATCGTGTGATATAATGGATTTATGGTAACTTAACAACCAGGTGCTCTTGGTGGCTGCACATTTGACTCCAGGAGATACTCAGCTTTGGAAGAGACTAGCTGAGAGGTCAAGGGATGAGTTAGGGAACTACACTCAGGCCGCGTAGTCATAGTGTTTGCATACATGCTCATTATTGACCATCATCCTCTATATTAGATACTGCTTCCATAGATGTTGGAGATCAATGCCGGAAGACGGTACTGATGAGGCTAAATCAGTGCTATGGGACATGGCTGATTGCTTTATGAAGGTATTGCCACAAGTTTCACTGTGAATGACCGAAACACTATCATTAGATAAAGCGCTATGCGAGGGCAGCACGTTATCTACAAATGTTGTTTGAAATGCATCCTGGCGACCTCGGTAATCTGCATGATACTAGAAGCATAAGAATATGCATCATCTTAGTCATCGGGCGTATGTTGTCCAAGGCCCTGTACCTCCAAGCAGACAAGCCAGCCACTGCTCGTGTATTGGAGGTATGCCTAGGTGTGGATAGTGATAGTAGCAGCAGCACCAGTGCTGACCATCCCTCGCCATCTCCACGGGATGCTGATCTTATGAACATGCTCTGTGAAGTGTAAGGCACGGTTTAGGTTACGTACTACTCTCATCCAGTACTGTTACAGGTACATTGACCTGAGGGAGTATGGCAAGTGTCGAACAATACTTGGTAAATTCCTTATCCCGTCCAACGTATCAATAGAGGATAAACAGGGTTTGGTCGCAGCCCTTAGTGTGCAGCCTATAGATCTAGTGGTCAAACTGGGTGTGGCCGAGTCGTATTATCATGCACAGACAGGTAATAATACTAACCACTAGTTGTTATCATCATACCTCACTCTTGATACAGGTACGGCAGAGCGGCGATCCTCTGGTAACGCGAGGACTACAGAGGAGGCATTGGCTCTAACCAAACAGGAGCCACCTATGGGTGCTAGTCCATTGGCGAAGGCGTGCTGTGGAGTATTACTCATGGCAGCTGCACAAGAGATGGAGGATAGTGGTGGTAATAGGATGGAAACAATGTCTTATCATCATCATTGTATTGGTACGATACGGTTACACTGTAGGTAATGCTCCCACTGGATTAGAGGATCTCCATCTACAATTGGCTGATGCTATGCATGATAATGGTCATACCAGGGAGGCGTTGGAGCTGTTAGTTGCTCTAGCACAGCCTGGCAAGGTTATCGACCCCGTACATGCTAAGACACTGTGCGGAAGAATAGGAAAGTAATAACCATAACTATCATGACTCTATACTGTCTATACAGACATCATACACTCAGAAGTGCCCTCCCTATTGTTATTCTTCAGTTACTACTACGCCCTCGGTGATATTGAGAGTGCCGGTATATACCTAGAAAGAGCAGTGGAGACTAAGGCTATCAATGCAGCGAGGTTATCTCATGAGGATGGCGATATCACAGCAGCTACTTCACCCCAACAGGATGACCCTACTGTACTGTTTATATTTCCTTCAGCCATTAATTTATGGTAGCTACCAGGTTCTGGTACAGCTATCCGATATATGGCGTCGGCTGGGCAGGAGTGCTGATGCTGATAGGCTACTATTAGAGACTTTGAGCTATGAGGATTTACTGATGTGCAGGAGTTTGCCTAGGGCTCATAGTACTAAGGAGAGGAAGACAGCGTAACAATGATCATGGAGTATCCCATTGCGTGTGTAGCATGCTTTCATCAGATACAACACTTTGATGGCAATATTGGATAGTGATGAACTGGAAGTGCATAGGGATACATCTCAGAAGCTGCCAGAAGATCTACACGATAAAAGGCTGAAGTATGGCTGATCTCATCGTGTGGTCATGGCTCGTTATCTATTTTGTTCTATTAGATTTGCTTCAGCGTGGATAAGTCTCATGAGAGATTGTGAGCTAGATAATCAGCGTGCTGTGAGGGTAATGAACTGAGTTACCCTTAACACCTCTCCATCATCTCCTCACTACCTTCGTGTCTCAGTATCGAAGAAGTCAATATCCACAATACTTCAACACGGCTACGCATCCTGTGAGCCCGAATAAGAAGAGTGCTCGTGAGGGCGGCGGCTCTACACCTAAGGAACTGCTCAGTGAGGCAACACCTCTTATTAACTTCGGGAGAGACGATCCCAAAGCAGTGGCGGAGGCTAAAGCTAAAGATGGGATGGTAATTATCATAAGATGCTACTGTAGCCTAGTCATTGGTGTTCAGCCTGCACTGCCTCGTATAAAGAAGGAGATGCAACTGCTGGGCATCGATGACCTGTTCGGTGATAAGGCCTTGGTTGACTTCATTATCAGAGGCTCCAATGTATGCCACCTGGTCGGTAGAGAGCAAGAGGCAGTGGAAATTATAGAAACTGTAATAAGGAAGGATTTATAAGTCTATCCTGTAGCATATTAGCGACCCTCTAATAGGTACTACACTCCCGTCGAAAGAGATGGTCCAGCAGTGGTGGTGCTGAGGCATCAGATAAGGCAGGTGGTACTGCCTCAACAATTGAGGCGGGTGGTGGGACGCAGTCAGGAAGGAGTACTGCTGATAATGCCATCCCTGTCGGTGGTGGTGGAGGGTCCGAGCATATATCCAGGCTAGAGAAGGCCAGCTTCAACCTGGCAATCAAGGCCCGTATGAGGAAGGTTGTATTCAAATACCTCCGACAAAGAGTAAGGGCATGGTATTAATGTCGACTGCTATCAATGCGTCCTTCGTGCTTTAGGCTGTGAATAACGCTCATGATAAGGACTACTACACACTATCACGTACACTAAGCTATCTATCCAAACTTATGTTCTACGATATCGCAGCAGGAGATGAGGAAGCAGTAGGTTTGGGTATGGGCTATTATTATTAGTAGTAGCAAGTGATGTGTAGGGCTTCTCAATGCACTCGGATGAGGTGAAGGGCAAAACTACAATGCGGAAGGGGACCAAACCAGATCAGCTAGAGTTCATCGACCAACGAGCATGGTTGATAAGACAGGCTATCAAGTACCCTCAAGTGTATGAGTATACTCTCATACTGGGTCATCTTAGTACACTAGCCCAAACGTAATAATATTCCACCTCTTCAATAGAGGACTGTAGCCGATGATCTCTCCAGGCATCGATATAGCGTCAGAGAGTACTACCGAGCCATGAGGCTACGTCCCAATGATCCCTACCCAGCTCTACTTCTCACAGCGTCCCTCACTACAATGTCTATATCACGTGTGACGTACGATAGACAACTTACCATCACCAAAGGTAGTGTTTAGCCCTTGGGCGTATGCTGATGGCATCATGTTTCAGCTTTGGCGGTATTCCAATTGTATGAGAAGCTCCGACTTCAACAGGAGGGAGTATCAGGCGTGTTGGCCAAGGCTGAAATAGCTTACAATCAAGGGAGACTTTGGCATCAACTCTCTGTCTTCCATCTAGCTGATAGGCTCTATAGACAGGCCTTGAGTATTATCCATGAAGCTGAAAGCAATGGCAAGATGTATTACGAAGTCCATGAAGTAGAGTATGTACGCTTAGCAGCTGCATACAACCTAGCTACACTGCATGTACAGACTGGTAATCGTACTATGGCAGCTAGAGTACTCGTACATAATATAAGGCCTGCTCTACAATAATGGTTGCCATTATCGTCTATGCCTCCTTCGTCCTCTTCCCTATTATCGATATCGACATTACCATTATCGTTTTCTTAACGACTATTTCAAGAACTACGTATTCATTGGATAACTATTCTCGTTGTGTTAGTCTACTGCTACTCCCAGGCCTATCAGATGGTCATCGGAGTATCATGAAGTGGATGATTTTAGGTCTACGGCATAGGGAGATCCATGAGAAGACACCACTCGAGCTGTCATGTTATCTGTTCCGGCATCAGGTGTAGTGGTCATGACTACAGCCGCGGCAGATGCCGTGATGGAGCCAATGATGGCAATCATAGGGTGCCAAGGCTATGTCCTCCTCGCACAACGAGGCCTTTGCTAACCTGGGTATCCCGAGCACTATCACGGACATTCCCTGTTGTATAGCTCTTATCGATGCCAATATTCTACCTAAATCCTCGTAGTGGTTGTAGAAAGGAAGCTGCAATCGAAAGGCGCAAGGATTCGGCCGGTTCCTTCGACCTAATGAGTACTGAGTCCTTGGCTCCAAAGCTCGATGGTAATCCTTTAGCGCAACACCGTACATATATTCCGAGACTGAAATTTCCGTCTCGTTATTAACGACCATGCATCTCCTACTCTAACACGCCATCAAATCCTACTTACTCTGCGCGATAGTACTCTCATCTTTACAGTGCATGAGCTCGATGAAGCCACCGGAGTAGATGCAGAAAGAGAAGCAGCAAGACTTCTCCAGCGGAGTATGCTGATGCTGGAGGGTAAGGATGTGAGAGTATCATCCTCTACTAGTATCCGAGACACTGGGTTATAAAGGCTTATCGGAAGAAGACGCTTCAAACTATGGTATTGAGTAGTGGTGTGATGGAGTTTCCGAACGTTAACGTTAACTTTGTGTTTGGCGGCGTTATGCTGTACATATTTGGAAAGTCGAAAGCGGGCATTCTGGTGATAGTCGCAATCAATTGACACCTAGCCCTACTCGAGCTAGGTATAGGCTCTGCTATTGAGTATAACACCTTATTCACAGCATATGCCCATGATTCAATCCCCATCATAGTAGCATGCTCGCATGTACCATACCTAAACGTATCACTACTGTCCTTCCCAAAACAGCTGTAAATATCCTCCATCTATCGGAAGGGGTGCGCAGACGCCATGTAAGTATCTTAGATCGTTTCAAACCACCCTAGGGTTGGGAAACTTACTTGCTCAATTCACTTTGGCTTGTGGCGTACTTGAGCCATGTATCACTCCCCAGGTACCTCGTAGAGAGTTATTGAGAAGGATTGAGGAGTTGGCTCACCTACCTCCGGCATTGGAATACTTCCGTTCCTCGGAGATGGAGTCCATACACGCCATGATAGTGAGGGATATCCGCTCGAGTAGAGTCGACTTTGAAGTACTCAATGCGGCTTGGCGTATAAGTCTAACACTTTCGTTCTAGTTCATTACTCGATACTCAAGTGCATGCAGCCTAGCTGGATACGTCAATGCAGAGCTGTACACAGCTATAGCCGATAGGCTATCACCTCGACATGACCGTAGCAAAGTGCGAGACGTTAGGCATCCACCCGTTACTTGTGGTAATGTCATGACTTTATTATCCCGTATCGCCACAGGACGACGACACTCCACGCGGACAATGGTCTCGCGGGAGGAGGTACGGCTTTTTGATGTGTTAATCGATCATTTGGTGAGTTGTCCGGTATCTACTACAACTTATCATTCACCTCCGACCTTCAGGTTTGTAACCCACCTCGGCAGCTAACCGCAGCCAATGCAGCTATCATATGTCGTGCCATAAAGTCGGCATACGAGAGAGGGTTTTTTGATATGCAGCCATGGATGGGATCTACCAGTCATACCCTTCTCACAACAGTCATCCTTTCCAGAACAGTAATAACGTTGGAGGGTTTCGGTTTTGCTTTGACATCCTCAAGGTGATTCGGACTACTGCTATATTCCCGCGTAGGTACTTTACCAGCCAGTGTCCTTCACCATCGATGATATTGTCTCGATTTTGGGTGCCTGCGCGGTCCTGCCTGGACTAGATGACTTTCCCGTCATTACACTAGAACGTTGTGTACCATGGTTATTCGCTAATGTTGGTGATGGGATTGACCCTGCGCAGATTAGTGCTTTATTGAGCTCTATAATGCATATCTATCGCGACTATTGGGCAGATGACGAATTAGCGGTCATCGCTTGTTTGAATGATAACCATGAGTTACCCCAATATATCCATATGCCTGATAAATTGGCTGTGAGGCTAGTGAATAGCTTGAAGAATAGGACACATGAGCCGGCTGAGCTGGCAAGGATTGCTTTAGGTGCGGCTCGCTTGTGTGCTTGAGTTTCGGTATCTCTCTACAGCCATGCTGTCGTGTTGGTTAAGATCCGCATTATACGAAAAGCAGTATATTTCTGTGTGGGAAACATGCTTCAAGTTCGGAGATTGAGATTGTTTGTCGCACAATCGCTGTGCTCGCTGGATCTTGAAGCATGTCTATAGCCGGTGATTGGACTTCACTAGATAGTCAGTAAACACAAGCAGTGTGGTTGAATATCTGCTGCCAGCACCACAGCATTTCTGGCGGTGGAGCATCTCAACTGACATGTGTTTTAGTCAATTGTAATTGTGTCTCCGACTTCGAAACCGGACCTTCCGAGTGTGAGTCCAATGAAAGATTATACTACAGCAGCTAGCGATCATAGTTGTAGTGCTCAAGGGATACCTGACCTAACCAATGAGCCGAGGAGCAAAGTTCGCGGTATCGAAATGTTGGATTCAGAGCTTTGTGTTCCATGTGGATAGGTTGCGTACTACAAGCGTTTTCTTTGGGAAGGCATGTAAGATGCACGTAGAAACGAGAAGATGGGGAGTATGAAGTGTTACCATAGTCCGAGAATCTCGCATAAACTTTTTCGCTGATAGCAGGTTCTCTAGGAGGGCGAGGATGTGATGATAGTAGGGCTGAACGGCTAGTAACTAGCCGCTAGTTTGTACGGAGCGGAAGTGATGAAAGTAAGAAGCCTGGATAGCTCGATAGGGACCTTTTTTCACGAGAAGTTGTTGCTTCTTTATGCTCTCTCTCGAAATTTTACTCTGAGCATAGAATGCACAGCAGGTCGCGCTGAGCGGAAACTTCGCATCCTGAGTGACCCGTTTAGAATGGGTCATTCTCAACGAAGTATCTTAGATGAATCATCTCAGGTGATATTCACGTACAACTTGGTTGAATACGTTCACCGTTTTGTGATAATTTCACAACCAATATGGTGGCGAACTTGTATGGTCGAACCAAACACGGTTACATGCCGCTGCTATCAGAACTACCAATCAGCTGAGGCGATACGAAGGCGAAATCCATATAACCGTTAGAGTGCGTAGGAGGGTTCATATCGATCTGTGATAACACGATGATGGAACTTCGTTGGGAACATTGGCCGGTAGAGCTACGCCTTAATCGGGGACTCTAACATGCACTCACATACATGCTAAGATATGTATAGATATAGATAATATGGCGCATATAGGATATTAGGCGCATATCAGATATGCCATATCTATTAGATATGCGCCTAATATCCCCGTCCATATCTAACATCGGGGTCTCTAACATCCCAATAATTTGGCGTCACCAATCACCACGAGGAAATGTCCCTGAGTGACAAGTTTCCTTCAATATGATAGTAGATGTGACTCTATTCTGCTAACAAAGCAGTGGTGATGGATGAGAAAGGCATCCAGAGCGTTAAAATACCAACGATTTTCGAAGTATCGTGGAATTGGAGATAATGGGAGAGGTGAATACTATTCATTTCAGGTTTGTGGTCGATGATGCCACTTATCGAGCTGGATTGAGTCAAATTAGGCTGCGCGCGGAGTAATCTGCGACACCCAACAGATAGTGGAGGGAGTCAGGAGTTGTATAAGGTAAGCAACCCAAAGAACGCGCTAGCATGGGGAATGGAATCGAAGGTTTAAAACGACATAGTCGTGGGAGAATTTCTCTGCTCGAGTAAAGGCACTCGGGGTTCCATCACCTTCGGCAATATCCACCGATATCTAAGAAGGAGGAAGTGGCTCCCAAGTTTCGGTGTCGGTGGAGGAAGACCGTCGAAGCTGGAAAAGCTAGGTCAGCAAATAGTTAGTCATCGCTTGGTCACATTCCTTCCTCTTAGTTCGTAAATGGTTAGAGCCCATACCTCTACCAGACATCGAACTTGAAAAGCTGGGGAGGCGATTACTCCTATCCAACCACTCCTGTACCTCATGACATCGAAGACACTATACTGTCGGATGCCATGAAGGTATATGCCACGGCGAGGATGCCAGAGAATTGCAACGAAGTAGTAATCAATACACGTTCACTTATCATCTTTAGCATAAATCACACAACTCTGTTCTGGCAGACAGCCCGTTGCGGTATATTCACGACCGCATCCATTCTCAGTATGGATATAGTGGAGTACAAAGGTAGTATTCTTGTATGGAAAGCAAGGCTAAGCATACAGAAACAAACACATCATATCATTGAAGGTAAACGGGACGAAGTTATCGCCGAGTCTGCTGGAATGCACATGAAAATGTGCTTCAGCAAGTACCGTAAGTTGTCCGTCATTATGACCAAACTACGCCCTACCGGAGACAAGCGTCCCAAAGAAGCCTACAAGACCAAGTGTACCGCCATCGGCCAGATGGCATCTACCAAGCAAGCTACAGTGGCAAGTGAGATCCGTAGTCGTTCGATCGCGTCTAACTCGTCTTTCGTTGCTCCCTCGGGTTCGCCGGATCGTGTAGTACTCGCACGGTGTGGTGGGAGTAGTCCTAAGCAATCTCTTGCGCGCCCAAGTACGGATGATACCATCCCGAACAGGAGATCTGCGGGGATTCATGGACCTGGCGATTCTATCCAACGTAACGTTGGTGCCACTACGGTCGTCTCTACCTCGCCTGTCGATCTCGAGGACGCTCACGTTTTTCGTACGTCTACCGACTCTGTGGACCTCACTCCTTCGCTTCCGGCCACTGCATGGCTTGGAACTAACCTCCAGACTGTCACTCTCGGCACCAACCCAGATGTCTTGAAGACATTGTCTTCCATCTGGGTTCGGACACTGGTGGAAATGATATCAGTATGGAGGGAGAGATCTCTCCATCTGATCTAGAAAGGGATCTGTTGGAATGCTCAGACCCTAACGCTAAGGTGTGCCCTCTACCACACCCTTGTACCCATCATTGGGAGAAGGCTCAGACCGAGATCGCGGCTAGGGCCTCTCCCCTACACAAGAGACACAACTTTGTCTGGGCGGATGAGCCAGTTGATGCGGATATGACACCCATCTCCTACTGCCACCCACCCACCCCCAGGCCAAGTCCACCAGTGATCCATGTACCCAAAAAGTCCTCGGGCGAAGCCAAGGCTGTTACTCAGACCAAACGAGCCCTCAGGGGAATGGCTTACCTAGCCAAGGTAGCCTTTCAAGGCCTACCTTCGGGAAAGAGACAAACGGCCGAGCTCATCCTCGAGCAACTCACCGCGCTCATTGAGAGCCTCTTCGATTCGGATGACGACACCCCCTCGGACGCCACCCTACCCAATCCCTCCCAACCACTGCCCTCTCGTGGCAGTGGCCGAGTCACGGTTAGGCCGCACGAATAGTGGCCCAAGCCGGTGATTATCCTACGTGGTTCCCCCGATGCCCCTGCCCTTGCCCCTCCCCAGTTCGCGGAGCTGAGGGTCCATACCTTGGACTGTCTCCCTCGCTCCATAGTGGTGACGGGAGTCTTCCCAGTGGGCAAAGCTGGTGTTGGCCTGTCCTTGGCTGACCCCAAAGATCTGGAGACCTGTATACAGAAGCTGGATGGTTTCCGTGGCTTGAAGGCTGACAAAAAGCAGTTGAGGCACCCTAGGGTCATCATCTTCAATCCGGCAATCAACCGTAATATCTCCCTTGGTGCTCTTAACAGGGAGGTATCGGAATCCAACCCCCAGCACACAGCGGGAATCAATGGCTCACTGGTGACGAATCTTCACTGGAGAGGCCCGCACCTGGTAGTTGCAGTCTGCCCATCTCTATTCCAGAGAATGTTTGCACTACCTACCAAGAGGATAATACTTAATCGTTTGTTGGTGAGGTTTGACTTTGCCCATGAGTCATGGGCCATGACATAACGATATGTTATTATTGCTCGAAGCTCGGACATATTTCATCGGTCTGCAATGAACGGGACTCTACCCCCCACTGCAGCCGATGCAACGGAGCGCATGAGCGCAACGCCTGCGAGGCAACGGCATCTACCTGCCGTGACTACGTTGATGCCAAGAAAGCTGCAGTAGATCACGAGGCCACCGATCTCAACAAGTGCCCCACTGCGAAAGCTTTCGCACGCAGGCTGGCTCAGCGCACGAACTATGGCTCGCAATGCTGAGGCTCCTACAGCTCAACACTGGGAAAAGACGAGAGACATCATCTCTCATACCTTCCTGGAGCGACTGGGATATCCTACTACTACAAGAGCCATCAGTTCAACTATCGTCCCCTATCCATGACAATCATGGTCGTCGTGGTGGTGCCACCACCGTGGTGGGGCCACTATACTGACACCCCGAGGCCTCGGTGCTACTACAGTATTGGCGGAAGAAGGCCGAGAAGGTATGCGAAGTAGAGACGTAGAGAAGCTTTTAGGATAGTAGAAGTGTTGGAAGTGTGGTAAGGGAGTACATGCGTGCCATCAGTAGTCTCTTCCTCAAATGTCCCTGATTTTGTGTCGTCAACATGCGTGGTTGTCATTGCTCTCATCGGGATGCACCACGATCGCGGTCGATGGTGAGTAGTCATTTGCGGAGGACTACTCTACTGGGTGAGTTGAACTGAATGCGCGGAAATTTGGCGTCATCACGGATTTGAAATGGAAAAAATATGAGCGTCACGGCTGAAGATGATTTCTTATCGGCGCAAACTAGATGGCTTTTGCAAGTGAATTGTTTGGTGTTTGCCGCTGGACTCACTTTACGGGAATGCGCCATATAGAGACCAAAATGGTGGTGATGCCGTTCGGAAAATAATTAGGGAAAGAAGTATCTGTGATAGTCATTTTTGATAATTTGGCGTCACCAATCACCCGGAGGTAATGCCCCTGAGTGACAAGTTTCCTTGAATATAATAGTAGATGTATAGTAGATGTGACTCCATTCTGCTAACGAAGCAGTGGTGATGGGAGAGAATGTCATCTAGAGTGTCATAATCCAACTGTTAGAATACCAACGATTTTCGAAGTATCGTGGAATTGGAGATAATGGGAGTGGTGAATACTATTTATTTCAGGTTTGGAGTCGATGATGCCAGTTATCGAGCTGGATTGAGTCAAATTCGGCTGCGCGCAGAGAAATCTGGGACACCCAACAGATAGTGGAGAGAGTCAGGAGTGATTTAAGGTAAGCAGTCGAAAGAACGCGCTAGCATGGGGAATGGAATCGAAGGTTTAAAACGACATAGTCATGGGAGAATTTCCATGACCGGGCATCGAACCTGGTTATGAGATGAAATGCACTCTGCACGAATTGAACCCACGTATCGGACATGATTGATAGATCCATGGAAGAGTTGCAGCCACCGAGAGTTGAACATGGCTAAAGTGAAATGTAGTTGGCAGGAATCGAACCCTCGTATTGATCATGAATGATGAAAATACGCTTGTAAGAAAATTGCAGTCTCCGGGAATCGAACCTGGATATCGCACCCGAGTATCGTACCCGGGTATCGTGGCTGGATCAGTCGAAATGCAGCTAGGGGGAATCGAACCCACAGCCTGTTATCAAATGTTCGAAAAGTCCTGTAGCCGGGAATTGAACTCGCGCCCTATAACATGCAGTCGTCTTCTTTTATAGTGTGTGGTTGGCCATTATCATTATTAACAGCACTTATGCCCTGAACACTTGAAGATGGATGAGATGAGGAGACTGGAAGAGATCATCAAAGAGAACGGATTAGAAGAACATAGTAACAGAGGGGCACACGGTCGCATTTAGGAATTTCGAGACGCAGTGGGAAGTTTATGCAACCGGCACGACTGCTATTCCGACCATAGTATATCACCGTAGCCATCTGGCTCAAGGTAAATATCAGGTCCACTCTCTGGGCTGCAGCCGAAAGGTGAATGCCAGTGACGACCCTTTTTGGCACAGCGTATTCTCAGAGTACATGCACTTATTGAACATCTCCCCCTCCACCCCCTGGACAAGGTTCCTTCTTCAAGGAAGGTCCGAAATAAGCATCATTGTCCAAGGGGAGCGGGGCAAGCTGCATGGATCATTGCCTTCAAGGTTGAGGATCAAAAAAGGACATCAAAAGAGTGTTTCAAGTAGGGGATCGCGTGAATGTAAGGGCTGGAGATATTTTGTACTCAAGTTATATTAAAAGTTGCCTCATGCGAGGCGCCCTAAAAATTGCGACGGGATCCGTTAGAATCTCGCGACGGGAATTGGAGTAGTTTTCAACTAGCAAAAAGCGCATCTCCGCAAGGCGTCATAGATAGCGCTATTGCCCCTCCCGCAAGGATAGTAAATTTCTGCATTGAGAGATGGTGTTCAATGTCGGAAGTGTATGACAATTGGTAATTATCGAGAAGTTCATAAAATTTAAACTTTCACATTAACATTAATATTTCAAGTTCAACACGATTTATTTCATTATTCAGTTGGAGCATAGGCTCCGCAAAAATTGTGTAAGTTCACATGTGTGCAGTCATGCCACACGGCAATCTTTAGTAAAAGGCGAAAGATTGATTCGCTTTGAGATGACCGCTGTGATATAGTGTAATATCTTGAGGAGGTATGGCCATATATGGAAATGAAAGAAGGATGGGGAATTTGAGGTATAGTTAAAAAACTAAGTGAATCATTATATGATTCTGACTGTAGTACAAAGGGCTCAGACTATAGATGATTCTTATTATATTATAGTTGGTGGCAGCGCTATCTCTTCGTTTGCGCTACGCCACCGCTACCAGAAATTTCGCTGTGGAACCCACACTTGGTAGGCCCTGGAGCTTTACAGTCCTCAGAAGTCGTGCAGTGAGCTGCTCCGCCCCACGAGAGCGAGCTGCTTGAGCCTCGCCCAACGCCAGCCAGGTAAGTTACCTATCAATTTCGCCCATTCGTCTTGTTTACAAAGTTAATGGTGGAAATCGGGTAAGTAGGGAGAAGTGTTGAAAAATTAGATGTTCGACAAGTTTATTCCAGTTGGAAATTCATAGATTGTTGATTATTATTTAAAGTTGCCTCGATAGAGGCTCGGGTCCGCCACACTCAGCAAGTCGTGCAGGGCTGAGGCGACAGTCGAGTCGGAGCATGGTCAGAGACCAAAGCCACCGACTCCCCAGTGAAAAATTGTTGTGACAGTTCAAGTTAGCAGTAGCTAACATATAAGTTGTCACACTTATAAGAACAGATACTACACTTGATCATAGCCAAAAGGCCGAGAAGGTATGCGAAGTAGAGACGTAGGGAAGCTTTTAGGATAGTAGAAGTGTTGGAAGTATGGTAAGGGAGTACATGCGTGCCATCAGTAGTTTCTTCCTCAAATGTCCCTGATTTTGTGTCGTCAACATGCGTGGTTGTCATTGCTCTCATCGGGATGCACCACGATCGCAGTCGATGGTGAGTAGTCATCCGTGGAGGGATACTAAACTGGGTGAGTTGAACTGAATGCGCGGAAATTTGGCGTCATCACGGATTTGAAATGGAAAAAATATGAGCGTCACGGCTGAAGATGATTTCTTATCGGCGCAAACTAGATGGCTTTTGCAAGTGAATTGTTTGGTGTTTGCCGCTGGACTCACTTTACGGGAATGCGCCATATAGAGACCAAAATGGTGGTGATGCCGTTCGGAAAATAATTAGGGAAAGAAGTATCTGTGATAGTCATTTTTGATAATTTGGCGTCACCAATCACCCGGAGGTAATGCCCCTGAGTGACAAGTTTCCTTCAATATAATAGTAGATGTATAGTAGATGTGACTCCATTCTGCTAACGAAGCAGTGGTGATGGGAGAGAATGGCATCTAGAGTGTCATAATCCAACCTTTAGAATACCAACGATTTCCGAAGTATCTTGGAATTGGAGATAATGGGAGTGGTGAATACCATTTATTTCAGGTTTGGGGTCGACGATGCCAGTTATCGAGCTGGATTGAGTCAAATTCGGCTGCGCGCGGAGTAATCTGCGACACCCAACAGATAGTGGAGGGAGTCAGGAGTTGTATAAGGTAAGCAACCCAAAGAACGCGCTAGCATTGGGAATGGAATCGAAGGTTTAAAACGACATAGTCATGGGAGAATTTCCATGACTGGGCATCGAACCTGGATATGAGATGAAATGCATTCAGCACGAATTGAACCCACGTATCGGACATGATTGATAGATCCATGGAAGAGTTGCAGCCACCGAGAGTTGAACATAGCTAAAGTGAAATGTAGTTGGCAGGAATCGAACCTTCGTATTGATCATGAATGATGAAGATACGCTTGTAAGAAAACTGCAGTCTCCGGGAATCGAACCTGGGTATCGCACCCGAGCATCGTACCCGGGTATCGTACCTGGGTCAGTCGAAATACAGCTAGCGGGAATCGAACCCACAGCCTGACATCAAATGACCGAAAAGTCCTGTACCCGGGAATTGAACTCGCGCCCGATTACATGCAGTGGTCTTCTTTTATAGTGTGTGGTTGGTCATTATTATTATTAACAGCACTTATGCCCTGAACACTTGAAGATGGATGAGATGAGGAGACTGGGGGAGATCATCAAAGAGAACGGATCAGAAGAACATAGTAACAGAGGGGCACACGGTCGCATTTAGGAATTTCGAGACGCAGTGGGAAGTTTATGCAACCGCCACGACTGCTATTCCGACCATGGTAGATTACCGTAGCCATCTGGCTCAAGGTAAATATCAGTTCCACTCTCTGGGCTGCAGCCGAAAGGTGAATGCCAGTGACGACCCTTTTTGGCACCGCGTATTCTCAGAGTACATGCACTTATTGAACATCTCCCCCTCCACCCCCTGGACAAGGTTCCTTCTTCAAGGAAGGTCCGAAATAAGCATCATTGTCCAAGGGGAGCGGGGCAAGCTGCATGGATCATTGCCTTCAAGGTTGAGGATCAAAAAAGGACATCAAAAGAGTGTTTCAAGTAGGGGATCGCGTGAATGTAAGGGCTGGAGATATTTTGTACTCAAGTTATATTAAAAGTTGCCTCATGCGAGGCGCCCTAAAAATTGCGACGGGATCCGTTAGAATCTCGCGACGGGAATTGGAGTAGTTTTCAACTAGCAAAAAGCGCATCTCCGCAAGGCGTCATAGATAGCGCTATTGCCCCTCCCGCAAGGATAGTAAATTTCTGCATTGAGAGATGGTGTTCAATGTCGGAAGTGTATGACAATTGGTAATTATCGAGAAGTTCATAAAATTTAAACTTTCACATTAACATTAATATTTCAAGTTCAACACGATTTATTTCATTATTCAGTTGGAGCATAGGCTCCGCAAAAATTGTGTAAGTTCACATGTGTGCAGTCATGCCACACGGCAATCTTTAGTAAAAGGCGAAAGATTGATTCGCTTTGAGATGACCGCTGTGATATAGTGTAATATCTTTGAGGAGGTATGGCCATATATGGAAATGAAAGAAGGATGGGGAATTTGAGGTATAGTTAAAAAACTAAGTGAATCATTATATGATTCTGACTGTAGTACAAAGGGCTCAGACTATAGATGATTCTTATTATATTATAGTTGGTGGCAGCGCTATCTCTTCGTTTGCGCTACGCCACCGCTACCAGAAATTTCGCTGTGGAACCCACACTTGGTAGGCCCTGGAGCTTTACAGTCCTCAGAAGTCGTGCAGTGAGCTGCTCCGCCCCACGAGAGCGAGCTGCTTGAGCCTCGCCCAACGCCAGCCAGGTAAGTTACCTATCAATTTCGCCCATTCGCCTTGTTTACAAAGTTAATGGTGGAAATCGGGTAAGTAGGGAGAAGTGTTGAAAAACTCGATGTTCGACAAGTTTATTCCAGTTGGAAATTCATAGATTGTTGATTATTATTTAAAGTTGCCTCGATAGAGGCTCGGGTCCGCCACACTCAGCAATTCGTGCAGGGCTGAGGCGACAGTCGAGTCGGAGCATGGTCAGAGACCAAAGCCACCGACTCCCCAGTAAAAAATTGTTGTGACAGTTCAAGTTAGCAGTAGCTAACATATAAGTTGTCACACTTATAAGAACAGATACTACACTTGATCATAGCCAAAAGGCCGAGAAGGTATGCGAAGTAGAGACGTAGAGAAGCTTTTAGGATAGTAGAAGTGT